GGTATGTCAGGATTGTGCTAAATGGAAGTCTGTAGTCTCTGCCTACCCCTCTCGAGTGACAGGTATGAGTGTTTATGTTGTGTTAAGTTATATGTTATTAAAATTACGTAAGCTATATCATTTTATTTTTAATTCTTATAAAATTATACATTTATTACTCTGCCTACCCCTCTGGGTGACAGGCGTGAGTGTTTATGTTATTACTATTTAATTTACTATTTATTACATAATACTAGCGATCCGCCAGGCTTTGCCTGGTTAAGTTCTATTAATGTAACATTATTAATAAATAGGAGTACCCGGATGACCGAGCTTTGCTCGTTTTTTTTTTAAGTTACATTTAGATACAAATATAACCCCTTTTAGCTGAATAAAAGGCAGTGTTTTGATATTACAGACACACACTTCAACTCTATTTATATGTACTTATTATAGATTATTTTAAAAAATATTCTAGAAGCCTTTAAGTGTTAAGAAGCTTAATTGGTGCAGCTTTGCCATTGCCATTCTCTGTTTTGGAAAAAATAATTATGCGAGTATTAGTAATCTTTTTATATTTATACAGCCTAAAGTGATGAGAATACTACAAAATATCCTTAAATTATATCAATCATAATAATAATTAGTCATTTATAACCGCTCAGGAGTTTTTGTTTCTGTTAATTTTGAACCTATCCCAATAATTACTACAATTTGGATCACTATAATTACTAACTCTGATTTTTGTAATTTTATACTTAACCATTTTACATAATATTCAAACTGATAATGCATATTTCACCCCATTTTACTATCATTTTATAAATATATAGCCCTAATCATGTAAAAAGTGTTTTATCCCATCAAAAATTTAAATGTGAAATAAGAGCCAAGTTCAATATTATGATATATACCTTGGTTGTTGACTTCAATGACAAAAGAAGTGAGATCTAAATGGGTGCCAAGTTCAATGGTCAGCCCTGAAATTAATTTATAACAACATAAAAAATATCGTTTCTTCTTATAACTTAGGATAATATATTGTAGCCTAAGGTATGACTTGGCTAGTTCTCATATACGAATTATCATGTTCGATGGCTAGTTTCTACCAGCAAGCCAAATTTAAGGAATAATAAAATAAGAACCGACAAGTAACAGGTTTAGAACTTGCGAAGGCTATAATATAATTCGTATATGAAAACTAGCCAAGTTAGACCTTAGGCTACAATATATTATCCTAAGTTATAAGAAGAAATGATATTTTATGTTGTTATAAATAAATTTCAGGCTGACCATTGAACTTGGCACCCATTTAGATCTCACTTCTTTTGTCATTGAAGTCAACAACCAAGGCATATATATCATAATATTGAACTTGGCTCTCATTTCAGATTTATGTTTTTGATGGGATATCACTACTTTTTGTACATAAATTATTAGTAGCTACTTATTTATAACAAAATTAATACCAAATGGTTTTTGTTAAACTGCTGTATTTTCTACGTTTATGGGGTATAATTGTCTTTTTTGTTTTATTTTCTATATTTTCTTGTACCTTTGATATGTTTGAGTGAATTGCCCATTCAGTATCCGGAATTTTTTTCATGCATTTTCTGTTTATATTTAATTTGGCCAAGTTGGGGCGGTATAACATGCGCGGTCGGTTGTACTCTACAATAGAGCTCTCTTGTGACTTGATTTGACTTGGATCTAAATTGATAAAATGTACTCCATCTAAGGTTTTAGCTCTAGAGAGTCCAACGTAAGCCTGCCCTCTACTAAATATAGAGGAGCCTATGTCGAGAAGAGCACTGTCAAGGCTAAGGCATTGTGATTTGTGGATAGTAATAACATATGCTAAGCAAATAGGGAATTATTCCATGTGAACATATACATTACTTAATATCTGAAACGGCGATCGCATGGAATAGGCAGCTTCCATCGGGAGGCATTGGAATAATTCGGTGTACCTTACACCGAGTGTGTCACCCATCCGTAATTCTATTGTACAACTTATTGTACAATATATGTAATAAAAAGATAATTATATAAGACGATTACATAACAAATTACCTGTTATCTATTGATTTCTCAAGAAAATTTGTTACCATACCAATAAAGTCTCATTCTCACTCATTCAGAGTTAGGTATACATACCTGCTTATAACTATACTAAAATTATTATTAGTTTTTGATTTAAACTATTTCCTATACCATCTAGACACGCGGTGCGTACTTACTAAAAGAATTGTAATAATAATATAACCACAAATATATAAGTATTTTTTAAGAAAACCTATTAATTACGTAGCATAAATCGCCACCTCATAGGTCAGATATCGAGAGCGCTGCTGCCAGTGCCACCTGCCACTCGCTCAGACCTCGAACACGTACGCGACACCGCTCCTACCCCGCTCCTCCGGCAGCGTACCGCGCACTGTGTACATGTTCCTAATAGAATCAATTAAGTGAAAAATTATAATAAAACGATAAAAATTTATCAGTTTCTGATTTATTCCTTTGTATTCACCTAATTACCCATCTGCATGCCAAATTTGAACTTTCTAGGTCATCTGGAACTGGGTTAGAGTTTTGATCTACAGGTCAGTCAGTGATAAAAATGACGATTTTTAGACATTAATATCTAAATAACCGTTTGAGATGTGTTTACGAAATTCGAAGTACATATATATCTTGCAAGTCTCAATATATGTGCTAAATTTGAAACGTTTATGTGAAATAGTTTTTGAGTTATGAGGAGGTCAAAAGTGGCTCCAAATGGTATTCATGTAATATTGTGTGTCTAGATCTTAAAATATCTAAGCATAGCACAGCAACCTACTGAACAGTCATAGTGCACATATGTAAACCATAGCTAAGGCCCGATTAAGCCATCTTGAGACCCCCTGGGCAATGCAAATGTTGGCCCTTCTCTCTTTTCTACTTCCTATATCACATAAAAATAATTTTCTCTAAGACTGATGCAACCTCAAGTGATGTTGCTACCATTAGCAGGTGTTTTCTTAAGATTAACTGCACTCTGCCCACAGCCACACTTTAAACTACAGGGACAATGGCAATGGCAATTTAAAAAATGGCCAAATGCTATGAGAAGTTGAATGACTTCAACATTTTATGATCACTAAAGTTATGCCATCTGTTGGAGGAGTTGTATCACTCTGTTTCGTTCATCGGGTGAAAGAAGAGACTATGCGAAATGCCAGAAAAGATATGATGAATGGAAGTATGATGATCTCCTTTACTTAACCGAAGCCAGCTACAGTCAGCAGCCTATTTTAAACCTCACAGTGTTCCACCTTCCCTGCATATCAATATGCAGAGAAGCAACATATAGTAAGGTGCATCTTCCTACATAGTCTCCTTTTCTATTTGTGCACAACACAAAAAAGAGCCGTGGTAGCTCAGATGGCTAACGCTCGCTGTAAATATACAGAACACGAGTAACCCGGGTTTGATCACCGCCGGCACCAATGAAATAGTTAATTGCAATTTTAAGTGCTGATTTACCACATGCTTGGTGGTGAAGGAAAACATAGTGAGGATACCTGCATGTCCGAGGAATAAGAAAAAAAAATATTTCAAAAACATGTGAAGTTTGCCAACACGCATTAGGGCAGCGCGGTGGACACTTCCTTGCCCTAAAACCCTCCCAGAAATGAGGAGAGGCCTGTGCCCAGTAGTTAGACATATATAGGCTGTAACTTTACTTTACTTTACAACACAAATTTAGAAACCTCTGATCAACCTCGACTCATTCAGTTCTTATTAAATAATCATTAGCTACAGTAGCCTAAAGGTTAAGGGTGTGGACCACAACTCACAGGTTGTGGGTTGGAATCCACCATTTGACTACTGTCATGAACCACTCTTAACATAAACATTTTAAGTTTAACCAGAGTGGTTAACAGAAATATTACTGAAGTTAATTATTGTTAGTATTTTTATTTAAAATAAAATTATCCATCCTCTCTCTTTCTCTCTCATATAACATCTCTTAAGTCAACCATTCAGTGATAGTTATAGTGTAGCGACGGTGTAAGTATATCTACTACCTCATATCATCCCATGGGAGGAAGAAGTGACAGAGGGAAACAAATCAGGAGATGGGCAGCAGCGTCTTCCTAAAAATAACTAAAAGTAAAATAACTGCAGTTGCTAACTTGCTCGCCAAGTGTGGCAACTATGGCAAATCCGGTATGAGGCAATCTATGGGTGGACCTATGTTCAGAAGTAGATTTGAATAGGCTGCAACGGATCGTAGTGTAAGAAGTTTGTTATGAGCAATATTGTTTTAAACTTACAACAGGTGGTAAGAGTGGTACTCCGTTGATCTTCATACAGGACGAATATTGACTTGATTGTCTAACGGATTTAACATCCCATGGATCGTTCATTTTCTTGAATTACATCAAATTTTATAACAACCGACCGAAGTTTTTAACACTAATACGCTAAAAGTTATAACTCCCTAAAATGAATTACCAACTTATTTACAAGTAACTGATAAAAAAAATTCCATTATTATAATGTGTAAAATCCGAACATTACTTCAAGGAGAAAATAATTCCGCGAAACCATGCCCTGCATCAATTTCTAAGCGATGTTGTCATGGTTTGTAGTGTACGTTAAACATCGATAGACTATCGATGGTATCGATAGTAAATGGCTATCGATACTATCGATAGTTTTTAAAACTATCGATCGATTGTTTACTCGGGTACTACTTTTACATCCCTAGAGTCGAGGTATGCATGTATGTAAGTTATTCCCCCGGCTATAGTGACAAAGGTATAGACATTGAGATTGTTCTCTATGGTAGGGGAATTACCGTGCGTATATCATACATTCAAAGGCGTAGACATTGAGATTCTTCTCTATGGTTGGGGAATTACCGTGCGTATATCATTCATTTACAAGACAAAAGTCAGTCAGTCAGTTTTTTATTGTGGATGTTTGAAGTTGAGTGGAGTAACAAACAATTTAGAATTAAACAATAAAACATGAGTAGTAAGTCACGTGCGTGGGATTACTTCAAAAAGACTAATGAAAAGTTTGCCAAGTGTTCTTTGTGTAAAAGAGAGTTTAAACTAAGTGGAAATACTACGAACTTGATCGATCATATGAAGAGAAAACATAATGAGGTATGGATGTGGTCATCCACTGTTTCTGTTACTCAAGACGTAGATACCACTGAGCAAAATGAGAAAATGGGCCCAAGCCCTAAAAAGAGAAATACGCTAAAAAATTATTTTGATAGAAGTAGTAAATATCCAGATGGGAAAACAAAGCAAAATTTGGATAACAAATACGTGCGCATGATTGCTGTTGACATGGAACCTTTGCGAAAAGGAGAACATGAACGATTTCGGGATTTTGTAAATGCTCTCGATAGTAGATATGAAATTCCTGATACAACAATATTGAAAAAGAAATTACTGCCGGAATATTATGAAAACGTGAAACAGAAGCTCGTCATAGCATTATCGAAAGCAGAACATGTTAGTGTGACTACTGACTTATGGACATCAATTGCAAATGAAGGCATCCTTTCAGTTACTTGTCATTTCTTTCACAACGAAAAATTAATTGCACCATTATTGGAAGTTGTGAAGATGGAAGGAAGTCATAACGCAGAAAATATAGCCAGTGTAAGTATTTTTAAATTTTATTGCCTTGATACCTACCAATTCAGTGTTTCTTTATAATCAGACATAAACAATATTATTATTGTTTTCAGATGTTGGATGCTACTCTCTCAAAATGGGATATCAGGTCAAAATGTGAAGCAATAACGACTGATAACGCTCAAACAATGATTAACGCCGCAGCCAAACTGCATATACGACATATACCCTGCTTTGCGCACACACTAAATCTGACGGTAAGTGATTCGTTTGCTGTGACCTGCTTAGACCAGATTCTGAAAAAATGTAAATCGATTGTGACTTTTTTTCAAGATGAGTACTCTAGCTAGCGATAAATTACGGGCTATTCAACGTGAATTAAATAAACCAGAACTGAAAGTGATCCAGGAAGTACCCACCCGCTGGAACAGTGCATACCACATGCTGCAAAGAATTGTTACAATGAAGACAGAATTAACTCTCGCACTTAATGAATGTAATCGGGCTCCACCAGGAGTCAATGCTGACGAATACCTAATTATTCAAGAAACAATTCAAATTCTGGAACCTTTCGATCTAGCTACAACAAAAATTTCCGGAGAAAGCTATATAACATTGTCACTGATAATACCATTGATTCGTGGAATAAAAACGAAATTAGTAGAAGTTGAATCTCAAATTGTTACTGAAAGCGGAAACAAAATATTACTCTGCATGAAGGGATCAGTTGACAAAAGACTAAGTCCCTATGAAAGCAGGACACCTGTTGTACTTGCTACAATATTGGACCCCAGATTTAAGAAGAAGGGGTTCAAAACAAGTGACGACGAGAAGCGAGCTGGTCAGTGGCTGGAAAAGGCCTATGCTAGCCATTTAACTAAAGAACGCTTGGCTGTAGAAGAAACGCTACCAACACCATCCACGTCTTCAGGAACATCTAATGACCTGTTGGGATTTCTAGACGTTCCGGACGTATCGACCCCGTTGAGTAACTCATTGGTAGATGTCAGGCAATATCTCGAGAAGCCAGTAATTGACAGAAAAGAGTGTCCTATAACATACTGGAAATACACCAACAATAAATTGAAGGAATTAGCGATGCTCTATCTCTGTATTCCAGCATCTTCTGTGCCTTCAGAACGAATATTTTCGAAGGCCGGACAAATTTTAACCGAACGCAGAAATAGGTTAAAAGAAAAAAGATTAAATGAATTGTTGTTTATAAAACAAAATAGCTGTTATTTTAATGATTGATTTCTAACTATAATAATGATGAATACTGATTTTTGATTGTTTGATTGTTATTTCGAATATATATATATCAAAATAAAATTCTACGTTTCGTATAACATTTGTTATTTTATTGATGTTACGCTAATCCTACAAGTTTTTAAACTATCGATAGACTATCGATACTATCGATAGTTTTTAGTTAAACTATCGATACTATTGGATTACCAAACTATCGATGTTTAACGTTCAGTAATGGTTTGATTACGTCAGTTATATTCACCGGTCTCAATCAAAAAGTGTTCATTTTTATTAATTAATGACAAATACCTATATAAATATATTTTCACAGACTTAATTTACAATAATTTATAAATTATTATGGGAAGGTAAAACTAAATTCTTCGTCTTGTTTTTCAATTTTTCAAGGTTTCAAGGTTCAAAACAATGAATATAATACTTTTTTTATTAACTGGCGTTACGGCTCTGGGTTCTAGCCCTTCTGAGCCTATCATTTCTTTCGGAATCTTCATTTTATATTATTTTTCTTCACAATATGCCACAATATGCTAATGCGTCATATTGTGAAGCCCTTGGAAGATTTTAACGACAGCTCAACCTAGTGGACAGTTGATGACAACAGCTACTCAAGTTCACAACGCGCCCAAGCGATCAAAATAACTTGAGGTTTATATCGGCATCAAAGCACTTGTTTCGTCGTTTTCTCTAACAGTTCTCACGCGCGGATACTTACCTATAATATAATATCTTAATTCACAAAATCGCATCACTTTTGCGAATCAAAATCCACTTCAAACCATTATTTAAACGACAATAGTTCATGTATTTAAGTTTTCCACAATGATCAAAATCTGGAGAAATTCTGACGCTATATCAAGGGTCAAGAATTATTTATTCTAAACATCGTGAAGAGCGTTCCTCTTTAGGATTGAGGTGAGATATTCGAATGAGGTTTAATACTTCTTGTGTTCTGAGGTAAGAGTTTGTGTTTTTTAAATGACAAACTGTTTAAGCGTTTACTGGATCAAAAGGTTTGATTATAGAACTTAAAGGAATTAGCGTAATATCCAGATTTAACTGTATGCCCATTGCAGGTGAAGCTTGATGGGGTTAATATCTTTCAGAAATATTACTTATTTTGCGATATCAACTGGTATATGTGTAGCAGCACGGCCGTAGCTGTCGACCGTTCGGAAATCTTCGGGAGCCCTCGTCTGCGCTGGAGCAATCGGCTCATTTTTCGTCGCCTCGCCAGTCTATCTGACCGTCAGTCCGTCCATCCGACGTCGTGAAGCCGCTCGTCCGTGCTCTGACCCGCGACTTTAAACTTCGTAGAAATAAACGGTTATTTAATATATGTGGTGTATAGATTATTTCGCATCCCCACATATAATTGGTGACCCCGCGTTCTCAACAAAAAAAAAACGAGCAATAATAAACTGTATAGTCGAGCAGTGTGTGTAAACTGTCTTTCTATTAAATAAATTGACCGTTATAACGATGTGAAAGAGTGGTAATACGAAAAGTGAATAACAAGAAGTGTGTCGAGTGGCCATTAAAGTACCACCATTTTGGCCGGACGAGCCCACGCTTTGGTTTGTACAGTTAGAAAGACAATTTATCCTTTTAAATATTACGCAGGACAATACAAAGTTTTACCACGTAATTGCTAATCTGGACTATAAATACATATTGGAGGTTAAAGACATTATAACTAAACCACCGGTTAAAAATAAATACGAAAAGTTAAAAAAGGAGCTTATATTGTGGTTATCGGATTCTCAAGAGCAAACGGTTTGGCAACTGGTGACACACGAAGAATTAGGAGACCGCAAACCTTCGGAGTTTCTACAGCATTTGCGCAATTTGGCTGGAACCGATGTCGCAGATGAATTTATCCTTATGGACGAGTCGCCTGCCAAGTCATATTCAAGCGATCATAGCTACGCAGACAGATGTTAACGTGAATAATGTAGCTTCACTGGCGGATAAGATCAACGAAGTCACTCTAAAACCTCAGGTGCATCACATAGCCGCAATGTCACACTACACCACCACTTCAGCTACACCGTCAACTTCGTCCAAATTTGAATAATTAAAGCATCGCTTAAATGACTTATCTCGTGAGGTTGCCTCCCTCACAATGTCACGTTCTCGCCCTCATTCCCGATCACGTGGTCGTCATTTCAGTGATCAACGCCGCTCACTAAGCCACTTTGCTACTGGCACGTGGAAGTGCTGGCACCTGATGGAAAGTGATTACCGCCGCCCATGAGCAACTGCAACACCAGGGGAATTGCAGATGCGTGTTCGGCCTTTTAAAAAGGAGTGGACTCTTTTCTTGAAGGTCCCTAAGTCGTATCAGTAAGGAAAAATCTCTGGTGGTAGTCGATTCCACAAGGAAGTTGTGCGAGGAAGAAAACTTCTTTTAAATCGCACGGTGGTGAACCACCAGTCATCCAGATGGTATGGATGATATCGTGAAGCGACGTTTTGTCGCGAAGTGCGATGGTGAAATTGTGCTGGAATTAGTCCTGACAATTCCTCAGAGCACTCCCCGTGGTACATGCAATAAAACACGCAAAGAGATGCAACATCTCTTCGCAGTGCCAGTGAGTCAAACAGATCGGAAAAAGCTTGGTTACCGACGATTCGAACCGCTTTGCGCTGAATGAAACGAGCCGGCACTGGGGAGCCCCGGTCCGGAGATGGGAACAGTATTCCATGTGCGGTTGAACCTGCGTCTTGTAAAGTTGCAGGCGGTGAGCCGGCATAAAATACTGTCCCGCTCTACTGAGCACGCCAAGCTTCGCACGCACGAACTGCACGTCACTCGATATGTCGACGCCGAGAATTCCAATACTGGCTGAGGCAACAAGGGAAGTGCCTTGAAACTGAGGAGATACGACGAAGGGGGCTTTTTGTAGCGGTAAACACGCAAACTTGTGTCTTGTGGGGATTAAACTGGACTAGATTTAGTCGCCCCCAGTTCGAGACTTTGTTCAACAAAGTTTACTTTGTTGAACAAAGTCTCGAACTCGAAATTGTACAACAAAGTTTAGTAGACGCAAGTTTGTCCCGGTCCTGCTCATGGACGAAAGGTGGTCAAATATTCGTAAGGAAGGAAGATGGAAAGCTCGTAACACACATCCGATCCGATACAGACCTAAGTCGTGTTTTCTGCTAACTATGAGTTGGATGTATATAGTATAAAGTTTATGAGCTACCTTTGTTTTTGTAATTTTAGTAATAGAGAGTGTTTGATTGGTTTTGGTAAGATAAAAAAAATTCTTTAACATATTTGTATTTATGAAATTATGGACACAGTATGTTATGCCACTTTTAACTTAATTTAATTGTTTATAGTCAACCAAATCTAAGAAATACCTTTTGACGTTTCACATTAATCATTCCGCAATAACTTTGCACAAGCGTACTCACACGATTAAAAATAACCTTTTACGTAAATCCAAAGAATTATGAAGTTATCTATATTTCTTTACAGCGTGTATAGTTTTTATCACTAATTTAAATTTAAATTTTTCAAACAAAGCAATATATTAAAAAATAACCAGTACAAACTTTTTTTTACTTGACGTCATATCAATATGTCGCTATGTAGAGCACCGTAGTGCTTGGATGATTAAAATTCATTGTTATGCGAATAATCGGTAAAAATATTCAAATAATCGAATTATTAATTTTCTTGAATGTATTATTTGTTTTATTTTATTTTATTTTTAAAATTCCAATTACATGAATCATAAATAAAACAAGTTTATTTTTTTTACGTATTTCTACGGGTGCCTCTATAGGTCCCATAGCGGTAATGCCGAAACAGACCGACTCTTCGACCACGTCCAAATGGCTACAGATTCGTTGCTACAGCAGAGATCGTGATCCTCGGCGACTTTGTTCTGGCTGACTTGGTTCACGTTTAACCGATCATGCGGGGAGATCTGTTCATGATTTGGCCTTGGCATATGGTTTGACACAACTGGTTACTTCGCCTACGCGGATTCCAGATGTGGAGGATCATGCACCTTCCCTGTTGGACCTTCTGCTGACCTCTCATCCGGCCGGATATCAGATTTGCTTCGACGCCCCTTTAGGCTCCTCGAACCATTGTCTTGTCCGGAGTGTGGTGCCACTCACGCTGAAATCGCAGTTGCATTCTGCAGGCTGCCGCCGTGTTTGGCACTATAGGTCAGCCGATTGGGATGGGATGCGGTCTTTCTTTGCATCCTACCCTTGGGAGCGGGTTTACTTCTCACCGGAAGATCTCAACGTTGATGCGGATTCTGTCGCTGATGTGGTAATTCAGGGTATGGAATTTTTTATTCCTTCCTCTGTGGTGCCCATTGGAGGCAAATCTCAGCCATGGTTTAGTCGCTCCTGTAAAATAGCATCTCGCTATAAGCAGGAGTGCTACCAAGCCTGTGCTCACGCATCATCGCCTCGGGATGTAAACACCAGCGCTCTAAAAAAGAAGTATAATTCCGCCTCTAGGTCCTTCAAAAGAGTCAGAGCCAAGGCAAAGTCAAAGTATATAGGCAGAATTGGCGAGAAACTAGTTCGCCTTCTTTCTGGAGCCCGGGCATTCTGGTCTCTCGCCGAGGCTGTCCAGGGGAATTTCTGTTAGCCATCTCTTCCATCTCTGCACAGAGAGGACGACTCACTGGCCCATACCGCAAAGGAGAAAGCCGATCTGCTAGGCTCTTTCTTTGCATCCAACTCGACTCTCGATGACGGGGGAAGTACCTTGAGGATCACCAGCTGATTAGTGATCGCCAATACGGTTTTCGCAGTGGTCAGTCAGCTGGTGATCTTCTGGTCTACCTAACTCACAGATGGGCGGAGGCAGTACAGTCCAAGGGGGAGGCATTGGCCTTTAGTTTGGACATTGCGAAGGCCTTCGATTGGGTTTGGCACAAAGTACTTCTTTTGAAGCTCCCTTCCTATGGGTTTTCCGAGAAATTGTGCGATTGGATCACCAGCTTTCT